TAGGGGTGTGCATTCAGCCTAGGTCTATCTGAGCCAAAAAAAAAAAAAAAAGCCGGAAAATACCTTATTGGTATTTATTGGTTATTCTTACAGCCAGATATAGAGGGGGGAGTATTTCCTTTAATAAAAAAAAATAAAAATTAAATTACTTTTATTTACAGACACAAAACAAATGCCAACAACAAAACATAACAAAACCATCTGATAACCTCATATCCAATATAAGAGATGATACCATCACGTTATGGTGATGTTCCAACCAACAAAACAAAACAAAGAAAATATATTAACCAATACGAGAAAAACCATGGATAAAAAAAAGAAAAAAAGGGGAGGTGTGTGTTTTCCCATCCAAGTTAGCTGAGATTTTACATAATTTTCATTGATCCCATTCAGTTTCTCAGTAATAGTATCCTCTAATATAACTATTCAATGCTTTATTAAAATTTTCAGGTAAGAGTCTCCATCCATTAAAGAAAATTCTTTAATGAGCTACAGTCTGGAAATTCCATTAAATAAATTATAAAACTATTCCAAATCATCTTAAAATCATCTTTCTTTTTTTCTCCCCTGAATTAATGTAATTGTATTTGTTAATTTTTCAAGTGCCGCTATATTCCTTAATTTAGGGTGCCAACCTATCCAAGGAAAACCCTTTAGCATTCTTCCGACATTGAGCAATAAGCATCCTAGTGGCAAACTAAAAGAAAGTTGATAAATGTTTTTTGTTTACACTGGGAATTTTAATCGATAAATACGTTGAGCAAGGGTAGTACAATAGTAGGTTTTATTTGTTACTGGGTTATTTTAGCCATCTCTGCAAATATTGATTTCCAAAAATTTGCTATAACTGGACAAGACCACCACAAATGAATAAATGTCCCTAGTTCACTGCAACCTCTCCAACAATTTTTACTATTTTCATTAAGTGAGCTACTGGAGTAAAATACCATCTTTGAGACACCTTTAATGCATGCTCTTGTAAACGTTTTGAGATTGATTTGAAAGGAAAGCATTGAAATATTTGTTCCCAGTCCTTAAAATTAAATTTAGTATTCAGTTCTATTTCCCAATTCTTTTTAATTGTCTGCACCAGAGTTCGTCCCTGATTTAATAATATATATTTTAGTAACTAATTTTCCCTCTTATCTATATTTCAAATTAATTATTTGAGTTTGGTTAATGGTGTGTTTATTTGAGCTTTAATTTCCTTCTTTTGGAGAAAACGTAAAGTCTGATGTTTCAACAGCCATTTAGTCCCTTCAGGAATCCTTCCTTCAGTCCAGAGATGACTACTATTAATTAAGAGTGCAATATTTGCATCCATTAATGCTATTTTATATGATTAACAAAATAATCTCTCCACCTGGAACCATAATTTTTTGCTGGAACAAATTTTGGATGGTACAAAATGGGGGCCAGTGGAGAAATCACTGGGTATAATACCCTTTTCCATTTCCTCCATACCAAAATAGGGCCATTGGCGATAGAAAGCAAGTTCAACTTTAATTTTGAACAGAAAGTATTATCATATAATAAGTGAAATCCCCCCTGGCTCTTTGAAATTAAATCTGTAGCCAGCCTATTTCCTTGGAGAAGGACAAAGAGGGGATTAAATATCTCAGTTGATATGCATCATAATAAAGGGAGATATTTGGAACACTTCACCCTCTTGCTGGGCACTTTTGTACATGTGCTGTCTGTGCTGGGCTTTCCCCCCCCCCCCAAATTTGTTGAGCTGGCATTGCCACAGTGACACTGGTTCTGCTGGGTACTCTGTACATGCACTGGTTCTGCTGGGCTTGGAAAAATCCCCCCCTTCAGTTTCTACTGAAAAAACTCTCTGGTTTGACATCAGTCCTTGTGGGGGGGGGTTTTTCCCCCACCATTGGAAACAATGGAGGATGGGGGCACCTTCTTTGAGGGCCACAGAATTGGACCTCCTGGTCAAATCCTTTTGTAACTTGGGGGAGTCTTTTGAAGAGAGGCACCAGAAGCTACAATGAAATTTTGGTGCCTCTACTTCTAAAAACAGCCCCTTCCAGACCCCTAGATAGATTCCCTGTTGGTTATAATGGCTCCATACACTATAATGGAGCCTGGGGGAAAAATCTGAATCCAAATACCATACCAGTATAGGAATTTGATTTTTTTCAGGAATCCCAAATTTTCTTGGGTCCAATATATCTGAACCCGAAAAATCCTGAATTTTTTTTGTGCACACTCCTACTACGGAAGGGAAATGGAGAATGTTGCCACCTTCTGGTGTGAACCTAGCCGAAATTAAACGAATATTAAGTCCTGTTGCCTTAAATCTCTTCCCCCTATATCGGCGGGTCCTAAAGGCTTAATCATGACAGGTTTGCATTCAGTGTTGTGCATCGTTGTACCACAGCACTAGGTAGACAAAACACTCAGGCTACCTCAGTTTTTTCAGAAATATGGAACTGGCTCATCAGTAGCCCAGATCCTGTGACCCTCTTACATGCATGATGCCATTGTAACTTATTTTTATGTTGTGCCTTTGTTTGTGCATGTGCTATATATTGTAGAACAGTTGATGTAAAAAGGGGGGGGTGAGTTATTGGATCTTTTTTTTAACTTGTGGAGGTGAAGCATATAACAGAGCTACAAAACAGACATTAAAAACTTTGTGTAAAGAAAAGAGAACTTCAGTGAATTTTTTTTTTTTTGGTCTCTTCCAGTTGCCTGAAAAGGGTCCCTGTGCTTGCCTGCATTAAAGGAGTCCCCCCAGCCAAACGGAATGAATTTGAGTGGCCAAATGCTTCTGTTCTTAAAAGAATAATGTGAACACTGTATACATACCTCCTGATGGTACTGGGCTACAGGGGCCAATCACGGCATCCATATCACTGTCCACCTCCAATTCTTAGTAAGAAACATCTCATTTAGGGTTTGAGGTTTAGCCTTGCACACGAAAGCTCATACCTTGAATAAACCTTTGTTGGTCTTAAAGGTGCCACTGGACTCTAAATTCGTTCAGCAGCTACAAGTGTCAGTTATGCAACCTGTATGCATTTATAGGAAGCATAACCACATCATCATCATCACAGCAGGAGGCAGGTTTAGCCTTCCTTCTCTGTCTGCATCACATATGTACAGAGGAAACTTTTACCCTGATCACACAGCTAGAGGCAGATGAAAATATTTTCAAAGGAGTTGTGCATTGTCACAGTGTGTCTTATGGCTGTTACACCAAGGACTGATCCTCTTGCAAGTTCCTCATAAGCTCATAAAGCTGCCTTATACTGAATCAGACCATTGGTCCATCACAGTCAGTATCGTCTACTCAGACTGGCAGCAGCTCTCCAAAGTCTCAGGCTGAAGTCTTTCGTATCACTTATCACCTGATTTTTAACTGGAGATGCCAGGGCTTGAACCTGGGACCTTCTGCATGCCAAGCAGATGATCTACCATTGAGCCACGGCCTCTCCCAGTTCAATGTGTGCAGATTCACACTTATGTGTGATCCATAATGCAATTCACAATGCAAGAAAGGCAGGCATGTTCTTTACATCCTTCTCCCAGAAACAATACAGAATTATGCATGTCTTCATAAACTAGGTTTCCATGTTGCTGAAGGTATCCTGGGTTTCCCAAAAGGTACTTTGATATTCACAAGGGAGGCACCCAAACATGAGAGAAGTACCTTTAGAAGACAATGAAAACTGACACAATGCAAATAAAAGTTCCACACTGTGAAAGGATGTAGATTTGTTAATTTACTATTTCTCTCTCTTCCATCATTTGGCACAAGTCCCAAGGCACATAAGAAAATTAGAGGAACTCAAAGCACAAAGTAGAAAAATATACTTGTTTTCCTTCTGGAATGTACTAGAGCTCTAGCTTTCAGCAGCCTACCCTTGAAACTCTGTACAGAGAAATAATCGCAAGCCATTTACATTACCCAAAACAGGTTATAGATCACATTAAAACAAAACCAAAAAAACACTGTATATAAATATTACATACAAACAAAATGTGAATTGAGCAAAGTTATTGTGCTGTTCAAGTTACCATTCAACTTTGGACATTTTTTGTTTTGTTCTTTTGAATGGAATGTTTACTAAAGCTGACACATTTCTGGGAGTGTAAAGTAAGGCCAGCTGAACTACTTCTGTAAAATCCCAAATGACAAAGGTACTCCCTTCGAGTAAACTCATATAATTTAATAGGATTACATTCCCATGTACTTAATATTTGCCATTTTAAACAAAATCAGGCTGTAGCCTCTGAATGAGCATTTAAGAATCTGTTCATTGGTGTCTGTGCTTAGCACAATAAAAGCATATTCCTGTTCCAACTCCCATGCTTTTTAAGACAGAATTTACCTTTATTAAAAGTGGTTACTTTCAAGCTCCTGTGTTCTACCCTTGCTAATAATGTATGGACCACCTTCCACTGAAATCAGCGAGACCTACCAAAGAACTGTGCAATCATTCCTGGCATGTGAGATACCTACAGATCTTCCTAATATTCAAGTACATCAGTTCCTTCAGGCAAGCTGGTATAATCCAGCGGCACAAAAGCTAAAACAAGAAACAGAACGTATTGGTGCCTTTTCAAATTAGAATTTTTGGAAGTCCCATAGAACTCTTCCCCTGTCCATTGTAACCGATTTCAAGTGTAAGAATACAGAAATACCTAACTCTCGGTTTCAACTGAAGATGTATCACCCAGATTGGATTTTGGGGATCCTCTCTCTAAAAGTTGGTGGAACAGAGAAGAAAGAGATTCTCATTTTCTTGCTGAAAACAGGGACTTCTGTTCCAGTTTTGAAGTTTATAAGCATCCTCTGAAACGTGAAGGACGTCAAACTGACTGGTTCTTCCAGTGTCCAGCAACCCACTTGCTTCCCTCGTCAGTGTCTTGATGTCAGCTCCTCGTCATTGGAGCAGCCTTCTAGCGAGGAAACGCTTGGCTCTCTGGAGGTGGGTACATCAGAGATGCTGTCAACATCTGTGGCCGAAAGGTCCACGTTGACAGTGTGTCTCCGTTGCATGAGCTTACTTCTAAGAGGTGGCGTAGCTGCCGCGTCAGAGTCATCTTCCTCTCTTGCCGGTTTATTTTGGCTGCCAGCATCAAGGATTTCAGCTCTACTTTGTTTCAAAAGGTCCACTGGTTTTAGTTTACTCTTATCAAAGCTCTTAATGGCTAACTTAGAGAAGGAAAAGGGGGAAAAGACAAGTTTTATTTTCTCTTTTCAAGATAAAGGCACATATGGAAACTCTAAAGCAAGCATCTTTCTGCAAATATTGGAGAGACGGAATCAATTGACATCTGGCACATTATTTCTCTTTTCTATCCTGTCCTTTCTCCCAACGAGCTTGGGACAGGTGTGTGGCTTTATTTTATCTTCCCAACAATCCTGTAAAATAGGCTAGGTGGAGCCCAATTAACCCAATCAACCAACACACTTCCTGGGTGAACGGAACTAGAGTCTCAGTGCGTCTGCTCATCAGTGAACTAAAATTAATAACCCTGTGCCATCAAGTTGCAACTGACTCATGGTGACCTCCGGACTATGGGGTTTTCAGGACTAGAGATGAGCAGAGGTGGTTTACCACTACCTACCTCTGCATAGCAACCCAGTCTTCCTGGGTGGTCTCCCATCCAAGTACTAACTGTGGCTGACTCTGCTTAGCTTCTGAACTCTCAGAAGATAGGGCTATTTTGTCTGCTGGAAAATATATTCAGGACAAATAAAAGAAAGTCTTCACACAAGGCACAATTAACTGATAGAATTTGCTGGCGAAAGCTATGGTGGTTACTTCTGGATTCAGTATTTAAAAGGAGATTACAGAATGCAAAATACGGATGTATCAATGGCTTTATTAGCCATGATAATTTCAGGGAACCTCCGTGTACAGAAGCAGTATATCTCAAAGGTGATTTGCTGGGAGAACAGCAAGAATAAAGGAGATCTACTGCCTTCACGCCTAGCCTATAAGCTTCCTGGAGGCATTTGGCTGGGAAGCTGTGTGATGGACTTTGAGCTGGATAAAGCAGGGATCTTTCAAGCCCTAAACTGTTCACATATCCAGACATGGATTCTGGAATGAACATCATTGTCAATCAGACACTGCCCTCTTAATATCTGTTTGCCTCGTTTACAGCCCACCTTCCTTACTGAAACTCAAGGCACATTACAAAATATAAAAAAACCCAGAAGTGTAATCAAGTCCCTTCTGCCTTCATTAGCAGAAGGAATAAGGGAACAATCATAATCAGATCTCCCTATATGAGCTTGTACTCCAGTTACAATCTTCATGCAACCCCTTCCCTTCTATTTCCCCCTATAAGAGGGCAAGGACTGTGGTTGTCCATCCCAGGGACTCCCACAGAGTTTGCTGTTTTTCCATATCGAAGCTCTCAATTCTGGAATCTTGTCATATTAAATGTAGTCTAGGCATCCAGCATTTATTCAGATTCTTTTTCCTTTTTTTAAAAAAAACCCCACGTTTTGTAGTTCACAAATCCTGGCTTTTTTCTCCCCTAATGCACGGAAGAGTTGTAATGTTTCAAATATTTATTTCCCTTTGAGTTACGTTCAAACTTTTATTCCTACCTGGTGCATCAACTTGTCATCAAAGTTAGGGACGCTTTTATCTCGCGTTATGGTTTTCCGCAAATATTTCGATCTGAATACAAGAACAAGCAGGATTAAAACAATTTAAACCCATCCCCATTTTAACAGGAGTTATTCAGTAAACCGTGGGGTCACGCGACTGTGCGACTGAACGACGACATTCAGTAAAGCGTTGTCTCCCAGCCACTAGGGGGAAGCATTTCAACAGAAAAAGCCCTCTAAGATGGGTGCCTTGAACATTCTTAACACTTGACCTTCCTGAGTGATAAATGGCAGCCATTGTCCTTTAAGCCCATAATTGTCTGAATCTGAGCCATTTAAATGCACACTTAGGACCATCAGCCATCCCTTCAGGTGTCTAAATCAGAGATGGCCAATGAGCGCTGAGCCCTACATTTGCCAACTCTGGGTTGGGAAATTCCTTGAGCCTGAGGAAGGAGACATTTGGGGAGGGACCTCAGAAAGGTATAATGCCATAGAGTTCACCCTCCAAAGCAGCCGTTTGCTCCAGGGGAAACTGATCTCTCTCACCTGGAGATGTTGTACTTCCATGAGATCTCCAGGCCCCAAATAAAGGTTTGCAACCTTAACCTCACAGCTCCCCCACATCATTTCTGCCACTTCAAAAACGGGGTGGGGGTGGGGGGTTACCTACCCCAAGAGATGCTGGAATTTGGCTTGGGACAACACAACTTTTTTTAAAAAAAACATTTCTTTCAAAAAAAGGTTTCATTACCTTTTAATAGAACTTGTGATGGTTAGTTATTCAAGGCACTGTTTTCAAAAAAACAAACCTGAATTGGACAGGCACAGGGCAGCTTACAATCGTGCTTGCAGCTTATGTAACAATATGAGTGGCTAATTAATTTGTTCTGGGCGTGAGTGAACAGTTAAATAAACGGAAAGTCCTGTTCGTGAGTCAGAGGATAAAGACAACATCGGATGGAGTTAGGGTTGCCAACTGCAGGCTGGAAAATTCCTGGAGCTTTGGGGGGGCAGAGCCTGGGGAGAGGAGGGACCCCCAAGTGGGGCTCAGTGCCACGGAGTCCATGCACCAAAGCAGCTCTTCTGCTCCAGGAGAACTGTCTGGAGATCAGTTGTAATCCCAGGATATCTCCAGGCACCACCTGGAAGCTGGCAACCCTAGATGGGGCATTCTTATCCCGATTCTGTCATTCTATTCCCAGCTCTATACCAAAGCCCTTTCTTCCCATTTCAACTCAGGTTAAAGCTAACAGCCCAGTACTGGTTCTGATAACATCTGTGATAAGGAAGAGTGACAAATATCTTCCGTAACTCTGTGGAACAGTTCAGCTCTGTTTCTCTTCATCCTTGGCTGGGGGGGGGGTACCTTCTGAAGATTCAGCCCCCTACCCTACCCCACCCCACCCGCTGACACCCCTGCAACATTTTCTGCTACAAGCCTCTGTAGCAAAGTATTCTGAAGGCCGTTTTTCAGGCTTACTTGTTAAACTGGCTGATTGACTGGACCAGCTGAAGTCGCCGGGCGACGAGACTGTCCACTGTCTCAGCAGGCGTATGGCCGCCTGCGGGTTTAAATAAACGAAGGGAAAAGTTAAAACTGGCATTCTTGTTTGGCAACCAATTCAGCACAATCCTGAATTAGGGATGATGCTAAGCGGAAGTGATCTTAAGTTAACTCTCTTTTTGTAAAATGACAGAGTGATAAGATGTCACCGCAGGTTAGCGTCAACAGCAGAGAGTCTCCAAAACGACGGGAGAAATGCCGTGCGCACGAAAAGTAGTCCTGCAACAGGTTTTGCCCAAAGCGGTGTTAGCATCACTATCATTGCTATCTGAGACACAGACAGTGGCCGGTACAAATGGGTTGCCTCTGTTATAGCAAAAGTGAGTAGTAGCCGTGGCACTGAGGTTCGCAAATAAGACGGGATTCTCTGATCACACTAAGGTTTGTTTTATCCTGAATGAATCCCCTCCGGATATAACTGAGAAGGCGGCTATATTTTTGCAATGTGCTATAAAGCTGCGCTGTGGGTAAGATATAAAGAGTCGGTTTGATGGTATATTTACCCAGTTGCAATTTAACAGCAATCTTTATTCTATGTTCCATCTTATCTATTTTTATGCTAATAAAGGACTGATCGATTGATTGACACAGACAGTGAAGTGACAAGCGCAGGCAGAGCAGTGCGTCATGTGTGAAGCGAGAATCCAACGTGTGCAGAAGAGAGGAAATCAAGGTGTGAAGAAAGGCTAAAGCGTCTGGGGCTTTTCAGTCTGGGAATGGGCAGGAGGACATGATAGAGGTTTATAAAATTATGCATGGGGCAGAGAAAGTGGGCAAAGAGAACATCTTCCTCCCTCTCCCATACAAGTAGAACTAGGAGACACCTGACAACACTGATGGGCAACGTATTTGGGACAGACAAAAGGGACCCAATCAGTAATTAAATTGCAGTGTCGCGAGAGCCAGTTTGGTGTAGTAGTTAAGTGTGCGGACTCTAATCTGGGAGAACCAGGTTTGATTCCCCACTCCTCCACTTGCACCTGCTGATGTGACCTTAGGTCAGCCACAAGCTCTGGCACAGCTGTCCTTGAAAAAGAGCAGTTTGTGTCAGGGCTCTCTCAGCCCCACCCACCTCACAGGGTGTCTGTTGTGGGGAGGGGAAGGGAAAGGAGTTTGTAAGCCGGTCTGAGACTCCGAGTGAAGGGCGGGGTATAAATCCAATCTCTTCTTCTTCAATGAACATAGCGATGGCCGGGAGCACAGGTGACTTTGAAAGGGGACTGGACACATTTGCGGAAGACGGGTCCATCAATAGCTGTGATGGATAAAAGGAAATTCTACATCTAAAAGCGGTAAACCTCTGAATGCCACTGGTAGGATGCACCATCAGGGGGAGGTCTTAGCCTCTAAGCCCCGTTTGCTGGCCCTCCACAGCAACTGGTTGGCCACTGTGTGACACAGGATGCTGGGGTAGATGGACAACTGGTCTTAACCAGCAGGGAAAGTCTTATGTTCCTTCGAAAAAGAGCCCTGTGTACGCGAGTCATTTCAAAATCCCCTCTTACAAGGACACCTTCTAGAATAAATGTCATCAACATGGACTCAGTACTGGATGTACAAGAAACGACCTTTGGGGATCCAATCACTTTCGCGAGACCAATGGATTAATGCCGTCATTCCCGCTTAGGTCAAGAAGCAAAAAACAGAGGTGGGCGGCTCTATAAACGGAAAGGCAAAGCCCTCGCCCATCCCAGAGAAGGCTCGTCAGATCACCTGTTTGTAAAGCTTAGAAAAAAGTAAGCTGCTGGCGATATTCCCTGCTTACACAATGGGAAGGCAAAGTTATTTCAGATTCTTCTGGACTGGCCTAACCCCAAGTACTGGGCACAACATGCATTTGGTAGCGTCGCTGCGTGGCAGGCAGGTGAGGACTTGCTAGCTTGGACCGTGAGACAGATGTGTTCCAAATTTTGATGAGCAGAGCTTCCTTCCAAGACGGGCTGTGCACCTGAGCATGAACAAAGAATCAAGGTGATCCCCTCAACTGGCCTCAATGAAAAGAGCCACAGTGCCGCTTTGCGGGAGTCCCTGTGGTTTGTCTGTCTACCAACTGCGGCCAAGTTTTGAAAACAAACGAGGGAGATGTCCTCTGTCTGTTACACCAAAGAAAGGCTCCACTGCTAGCAGGGTGAAAACAATGGATCCAGCTCCCAAGGTTTCTAGCCGTTCTTTTCACACTCTGGCTGTGAAAACTGTGCTTGTCTGCCATCTACACAGCTGGATTTTAAGCACTTAAAAAAAACAAAACCACTTAATCACTTTCTCATCTATGCAGTCCTCAAAGGCAGTCTAGCTAGACAGCTGCAGTCAGGTTCCATCCACCGTCTCTCATTTCTGCGCAACTAAATGAAAACTGGCAGCGCCTGGTGGGTGGGTCTCTACGCTGCGCATCCCTCTAGACCTGGCATCTCCTGCTGCGTTTGGCCGTTGTCGAAGGATTCTTTGCCCTCCTTTAGCCGTCTCGAGTGGCCTACCCCTCGTGGTCCACCACAGCATGAGGTGAAAGTTGTAAAATAAGACTGCACATCCAGGATCTCATAAGTTATGGCGAAGCTGTTCTGTGTTTCTTGAGTAAGAACTGCCTTGCTGGATCAGATTGCAGTCTAGAATTCTTTGCAAGAATCCCAGTAAGCGGCAGAAGCGAGAGTCCCGGCGACTAGCACGCTGGTTCCCAAAGTGGGCAATACTGGCCCCTGAGGGGCACTGGAACAATCCAGGTGGGTGGTAGGAGCCTTGGGTGCAAATTTGTCACTGCATCTTTTTGTCCACTTTTTGAAGGTGGATTTCCAGGGGGGGCACTGAGTAATTTTTTTAATGAAAAGGGGGCAGTCGGCCAAATACGTTTGGGAACCTCTGGCTAGCTGAGGCTGGAAATTTGTTCATAGTCCACCACTGAGTTGTGGTCTACTGTCTGCCCATCCTTGTAATATAGCATCTGATCCTTTGCCCTTTGTGCCACTGCCCCCAAACAGCAAAATATGTTTCAGGGCATTGGTGAGAACCCCCAGGTTTGCAGCTACGTAGAGTCTTAAAATGGGTCGTGTTTTTCTTCCCTCTCTTTTTTTGCACTGAACATCTAGCTGGATGGAGAGCCCTGGAGAACTGAAAAGCTTGAATACTGCTCAGTGACACTAAGGCTGGTTCTAGTAAAAGAGATTACACGACTTTTGGACTCTGACATTTTCCTGCAGACCACCAGGGCTACATTTGTTCCTTGGGCAAAGTGCCAAAGAACAGGCTCAGTTCGCTTACCCTCCTCGAAATGACAGCGCTCACCTTTTTTCTGGATCTTCACAGCTGTGTGAGTGTCACAGTCTACCAGACTTCCCTCTTCCGACACCGATACGGCTTGTAAGAGTTTGAAGATACCTGAATTCTTTAAAGAGGCAGATGAGAGAGAAAAGAAGAAAGGTTGTTTTGGGCTTTTCCTCCTCAATGAAGTCCTCCCCTGAGCCCTGAGACGGCCTCTGCAGATTTACTGGACATTACATTTTTTAAAAACTTTATTATTTCCAAGTTGGGTAGCCATGTTAGTATGTAGCAGCAGAAAAGTGCAAGAGACATGACTTTGTTGGTCTTAAAGGTGCCACTGAACTTTGATATTGTGAAGGATTTTCTTGCTCATTTCCGCTCATTTTACCTTCAAAGTCATAATTGAATAGGTTTACTCTCAGGGAAGGAGAGCACAGTTTACAGATATAGTTTTTTAAGTTTTGAAGTGCTTACAAGTTTTTTATGATTTCCTTGCATAACAATGACAAATGTATTTTCCTGTTTTAAGATGTTTACAAGTTTTTCTCCTATGACTTTAGGGACTAGCAAGGTTTTAGTTTATTGATTTATATCATATGCATAATTGATATGTTTAGTGATAGTGTGGTCACATGATTTGAATCATGCTTGCCTGCACTGAATGCTTGGACTTTTCAATGCAATTTGGCATTTTTCTCAGGGTAGATTTTTAAGTCCGTCTCCAACTATTAGTCTAGATAGTTGGCATCTGGGTCTATATTCCTGTTCCTGAGACCAGAGATGACCAGACGAGATGAGATGACATCTCTGGACCTGACCAGCAGACTGATGATGTGTTCCTGATGTGTTCTTGTTGCTGTTCTCATGACTCCTTCGTCTAAAAAGACTCAGTATCGTCATGAAGGGAGGTAATTGTTGAGAATTGAGGCTAATCTTTGCTTTATGGATTTATATTTGCTGCCAACACCACATGGACTGTGCATACATACACCCATAGGCTCAAAGAACGCTGTACAAGTCATTTGTTGTGAGATACACATAGATAGTGACCTGCTCTAAGCCTTACATGTTAATGAAGTTTGCAAATACACAGCTCCTAGCCAGAGGGGAAGAAGAGGCACGCAGGGCCGTTGTTGCCAGCCAAACAACAACTTGTTTGAAAGCAGCCTCCATTGATGAACTGTTGAAAACACACGTATACACATCTCTGTTTTACATCTGAATGGACAGCTTCCTGCCAGATGCCTCTCTGATTACCTGGGAACGGGCAAGATTCATCTGCACTTCAGTGGGCATCCTAATACCAAATTTTCACACCTCACCAGATGCTTTCCCTTGAGTTAGAGTCTAGAGTTTCAATATTGGCCAAACCCCTAGGTAGCTGCCCCTCGCTACACGCATCCAATAGCTGTAGGGATGGGACGGACTTACAGGTAGGTGGGTTCACAGACTGGCACAGATGCCACCCACTAAAGGATTCACCTATAAAAGGTGAGGTCCAGCTGCTTAGCTTTTGCTAGCCGCCTACCCCCACCTACGGCCCCTGTCTGCTTGAAGCCCCTCTCAAGCCCAGCTTCCTATCAAAAAACCCTTTGTTCCTACTTGATCTCTTGGTCTGCAGCCACAAGGTCCACACATGCTGGCTGGTTTCTAGCTGTGTGTCAAATCTCCCTAGTATATTTTCTGACCCCTCTATTCTTCATTGAGACCTGTGATTTCTATAGTGACTACTGTAATTCTGTATTTCTGAGGAACTTGATTGATTGTACGTGTGAATCTGATTTTGTGTGTATGTGATTTTATATGTTCTTAAGTAAAAGAGAGATTGTTTTGGAACACACCAGTCTCGTCTCTCTCACTGGTAAAAACCTTGGGGTCGATTGGACTTCAGTATACAAAGGCAGGAACCCAAATTTAAATTTAGTTTGCCAGCTGTTGTAGATAAAGCAGTTCGGCTAACAGTGCTATTGGACTCGAATCTCGTTCTTCTACTGCAGACCAACATGGCTACCCATCTGCAACCACTATGCCATAGTGATGATTTCTGCCACTCTACACACATCCAGCTCCAACTGTGCAGTGGGGTGACAGAGGCCATCAGCAGGGCTATTTTTGGGCGGGAACACACAGGAACAGAGTTTCGGCTAGCTTCAGAGTTGGCCACGCCCACTACGGCCAAAACCTCTGCGTGCGTGGCTACAGAGGGAAGGCCTGGAGAGCGACGACCCCCCCCCCCCCAACTCCGAGGCGGGGGGCGGCGGGGGGACCCTGGAAGGATCGGAGAGGCATTTAAATGCCTCCCTGTGCCTTCCCCGGCTTGTTCAAGGGCCGGCTTGCCCGGGCTCCCCACAGCCAAGGGAAGGCATGGGGGTGTGGCCTAATAGGCTAAGGAGCTGCACTGTCGGGGTGTGGCCTAATATGCTAATGTGTTTCTGCTGTTGGGTGTGGCCTATTATGCTAATGAGTTCCTGCTAGGCTTTTTCTACAAAAAAAAGCCCTGGCCATCAGTATATCCATACTGCAGAACACACCTGAGTGCAGTTCTTTCACAGGGTAAGTGGGGACCAACCATCTCCCATGCAGATCTACATTTTGATGCAGACAAACCAAATCAGACTTCTGGGTGGCTGCCAGATGGGGCGCCTCAGGGCTGGCATAATTTCATCCCTGCAGAGTGTTTATTGCTGGCAGGGCTCATTCCCAGAACTGAGTTCTGCCACACTGACCTGTTCAGCATAGTCGAGAGGAGTCCGCTGTCGGTTGTTCCTGATGCGAGTTGATGCTTGGTACTGCAGGAGCAGCCGCACCAGAGCTTCGTGGCTTCCCATCACAGCTTTGTGGAGGGCTGTGTTGCCCTCGTTATTGGAAAGGTTCACTGATGCCCCATGCTGGGAAGGGGAAAGGAAGAGAAGGAAACCAAAGACCATGAAAGTGGGCAGTAATGAAGAGGGAAAACAACACTGCTTTGTTTTGTTTTTTTAAAAAGGGAAACCTCTCTGGCTGGGAACTTCAAGAGGCAGATTAATGAAGAAATTCTATAATTGATTAATGAGTAGATCAACTAAAGTTTTAGTCCATTATATCAGTGTGGGGGGGACAATTTTAATCTGTGGGGTACTCTAACAAGCAATGAAAAAGACAACCTTTCCTACTAAACCTGTGTGGGAGCTTTTGTTGGGTAAACTGAAAATTCTTGCGTGCTTCTTTCAATGCCGTTTTAAAAATAACACCTATAGTAAGCATCTGGCAGGACGAAAGCATATTTAACTGTAGTGAGTTGGAGCCCATGGGAGCTTCATCTGGCTAGCACAGCCTTCCCCAACACAGGAGACTCAGAGAGCATCGGGGGAAGGCTCCGCTTGCTGCACAGATCCACAAGATCCAACCCAATGAATGAACCACCTCCTCTTTTCTACCATGCCTCCCTGCCCTCTTTCCTGTTTTGTCTACACACAGCCTGTGAGCCTCTGGGTAGAAACCTGTCACTTTCAATCCTCTGCGATGAATATGATCTATAGGTCACTCACTGACTAACTGACAGGCCTAATGCCTAGCTCTCTCCCAACTTGCCCCACCCGGGTTTTCGGTCCTACACCAATCGCGGACTAAGGGGCGGGGGGGAGGAGTGCCGATGTTCATTTGGGAGGCTGGGCGCTGGAGCACCCTAGGCTTGTAGTCTTGGGTGACTTCAACGTCCACGCCGATGACGCAGACTCCAGCCGAGCTGCAAACCTGGTGTCGTCCATAGCGGCACTGGGACTCTCCCAATTCGTATCGACCCCCACGCACCAGGCCAGGCACACGCTCGATTTGATCTTCGCTGCGGGGGTTACAGTGGACCAGATTACTGCAAAGGCAGTACCATGGTTGGACCACTATGCCCTGAAAGCTCGTCTGAATGTTCCACCCCGACCCTGTTTAGGCGGCGAGCAGATTTTAGCTTGCCCGCGGAGCCAAATGGACCCCGTATGGCTTCAAATGGCTCTGCGGGATCCGATGCTCCCTGGCGGCTCATTAGATGAGCTTGTGGGGGACTGGCATAGCGGACTCTCCACAGCCATCGATGAGATCGCTCCCTGACGCCCTCTAGGCTTGCCCCCGGTATACCCAGGGGTTGTGGCTGATGAAGCAAGAGCTAAGACGGCTAGAGAGACGGCGGCGTGCCCACGACGAAGCATCAAGAACATCCTATAGGACGTTTATGAGTTCCTATGAGGTGGCAGTCAAGGCTGCTAAGAGAGAATTCTATGCAGCCATGGTTGCGTCTGCGAGCTCCAGAACCAAACAAAGGTTAGTGAAAAGCAGGGCCTATATTAAAACCTTTCCATAAAAAGACGTACATGTATTTATTGATAATAACAAATTTAAAACATATATAGGGGCCCAATTACAACCAATGTATATAAAACATAACAATATCAAGGGCTTAAAAAGTTGACCTTACACTGCTTTTTACTTGTGAATACTGTGGGAACACAATCAAAGAAGGAAATTTTTGGACCATAAGTTTATTTTATAATCACTGGGCTAGTGATTCCTTTAAAGTGCGATCACTAGCCCAGTGATTATAAAATAAACTTATGGTCCAAAAATTTCCTTCTTTGATTGTGTTCCCACAGTATTCACAAGTAAAAAGCAGTGTAAGGTCAACTTTTTAAGCCCTTGATATTGTTATGTTTTATATACATTGGTTGTAATTGGGCCCCTATATATGTTTTAAATTTGTTATTATCAATAAATACATGTACTTCTTTTTATGGAAAGGTTTTAATATTGGCCCTGCTTTTCACTAACCTTTGTTTGGTTCTGGAGTTTATTTTTAGGTTCAGTTTTTTCCCCTTCTTGTTTCTGCTAGTGCGTCTGCGAGCTCACACCCAGCCCAATTGTTTAGAACAATTTGGTCCTTAACAGCTCTGTCACTAGGCAGACAAAATAGTAGGGAATTGGATATTGGCTGTGAGGCTTTTGCAGGCTATTTGGCGGACAAAGTCTTGGCGCTCCGCCGTGACCCCCCCACCACAGTTGAAACAGTGAGTGAACTCGAGGCCCCTTGCACGTCTTCGCAGGGATTAGAATGTTTTGACCTGCTCAGTCTGGAGGAAGTTGACATGAGGTTAGGTTGGTTGGTTGGTTTTCTCCCTGAATTTCCTCTACCGTTAATTGTTCATTTAAAACAGGAGTCTCCAACGTTGTGCCCATGGGCACCACAGTGCCTGCTGACACATTTTCTGGCACCCACCAAGTGCTCTTAGAAAGTGAGCAGGGTTAGGAGCACAGATTAAAACTGTACTGGTTGTGCAGATTAAAACTGTAGCTTCTGCCTGACATGCTGAAGATGTACTGTTATCAAGTTATATATGCAGCCTTTCTCCCTGACATTATGCAGCTGGTGTCGCCTCCTACGGCAGCCGTTTTGAGACTGTGCCCACTGCCCAGTCTCCGAGTTCCGAAGGTGTCCACAGGCTCAAAAAGGTTGCAGACCCCGGATTTAAAACATTCTGGAATCAAGATATCACCATCAGGATGTCAGTTTACAACAGATGCATTCCAATGGAGAGGCCAGCTGCTGGTAAGAGTATTACACTCACCGTCCTGGCTGAGTGCTGAATATTGGGGGGGGGGGGACACAACCAAAAGGAATCTGCAAATATGAAATGGTGCTTGAAGCCCTTCTCACCTGTAACTTTACTTTAGGGATACTGTTCTGACAGCCAATTTGCTGAACAGTGTCACACTAAGACTAACGAAAGGAGGAAATCTATTATATAATATAAAAATCTAATGATTTTTCATTAAATCAACTGAGAAAAGAACTTGGCAACTGCCAATGTAATGTTAAAATCCACCCCTGCTAAAAGAAATCTCAAATTATCCAGTTCACACCTAGAATCCTGGATATAAGGTTTTATCCAACTATTTCTTGCCTCGTTCACAGTCGAATAGACAGTGTTGAAGGGTGTCTATTTGGCCAAAAACGCATTGGCACAGTCGCTCAGAGTAAGGCAACCCTATTTAAGCATCCCAATAGTTCCCCTGACGAAATAGCATTCAATCTAGCCAGCATAAATAATCGTCTGTAGTGTGGAACTGCCAGGAAATCTCACCTGTAACAAAAAGTCTGCTATCTCTTGATCGCCGTTCAAGCAGGCATAAATTAAGGGAGTGTTTCCATGGATGTCCTTTTTATTCTGTTTAGCATCAGACTCTATCAGGCACGTCACTACCTGTGGGCAAAGGTAAAGGATGGGGATGGCAACGTTAAACAGCTGCAGCCCCAAAACCAGAGCTTAATGTCTTCGACTTCGAGGCTTATATGAATGCGTTGCAAAACACAGGCAAAATCAGGAAGCGAAGGGGGCTTCAGGGCATGGAGCCTGGGCTGGCATTTTGTTGTCTTTTTTCCAAGAGGCTCTGGTGTTTTTATTTGGCCCTGTCGCTTCTGAATGCAAAGGTGAGTATGAATGCAGAGCCCTTGGCAAAATGAGAGATGGTAAAAGAGAGGGGTGGGGAAGAACAGGTAGGTAGGGTTCACAAACGTTATCTGAGCTAGATTCAACTCCAGTAGCTGCTTAGAGAGCAACGAGAGTTTCAGGGTATAAACTTTCCAAGAGTCAAACCTCTCTTCCTCAGACGCCTGGCAAAGTGTCTGACAGAGGGAGCTTCACCTCTTGAAAGTTTATGCCCCCCCAAATCTTGTTGGTCACTGAGGTGCTGCTGGACCGGAATCCGGCTCTGTTACTGCAGACCAAGATGGCGACTGTCTGGCTGCACTTGTGTGCGTGCCGTCAACTCGCTTCCATAGTTGTTATCTGGTTGTGACGGTGAACTCACCTTCCAGGGACAGAAGGGGCTGTAAGTGATGCCGCTTAGTGAATTCATGACTTGGTAACCCAGGCTAGCTGCATCTCCTCAGATCATGGGAGCTAAGCAGGGTCAGCCCTGTGTAGTATTTGGATGGGAGACCACCAAGGAGGGAAGTCCAGGGCCACTAAGCAGATCCTATGAGATGGCAGTCAAAAGCCGTGAAGAGAGAGTACTTTGTGGCTACGATTGCATCGGTGAGCTCACGCCCAGCCTAACGGGGCAGGCCAAACGCTAGGGAATTGGACATCGGCTGCGAGGCATTTGCGAGCTATTTCACAGGTAAAGCCTTGTCGCTCCGCCGCGACCTCTCCACCACAGTAGAAACAGTGAGTGAGCTCGAGACCCCAAGCACATCTTCGATTTCAGTTTTGGATCACATCGACCCGCTCAGCCTGGAGGAAGTTGACACATTGCTCTTGACTGTTCGCCCAACCACTTGCAGCCTTGATCCGTGCCCTTCCTGGCTTATTAAAGCTGGCCACGAAGGATTTTGAGGCAACCTAAGGGATATTATCAACAAGTCCCTCCTGGAGGGGCTGTTCCTGGGGGCGCTCAAGGAAGCGATGGTCCGCCCTCTCCTAAAAAACCCATCTTTGGACCCGGCCGAATGGGCGAACTACCGGCCGGTTTCCAACTTGCCCTATTTGGGCAAGTTAATTGAGAGGGCGGTGGCGTTACAGTTACAGGGCTTCATGGATGATGCTTCCACATTAGCTCCCTTCCAGTCCGGCTTCTGCCCGGGACACGGGACGGAGACAGCACTGGTCGCTCTTACTGACAACCTCCGGAGGCATCTGGATCGGGGGCGGCTCGGCAGTACTGTTGTTGTTGGACCTGTCGGCTGTGTTCGACACAGTCGACCATCAGTTGCTGCTTCACCACCTCGCTGATATGGGAATTCAGGGGCTTGCCTTGCAATGGCTTGTTTCCTTTCTCCAAGGTCGGGGACAAAGGGTGGCACTAGGAGAACAGCAGTCCATGAGGAGTGCAGAGTGCCCGCTGGAGTGCAGAGTGCCCTGAGAGGCAGTGCTGTCCCCAATGCTGTTCAACATCTACATGCGCCCCCTTGCCCAGAGGTATGGGCTGGGGTGCCATCAGTACGCCGATGACACTCAGCTCTATCTGATGTTGGGCGGCCGGTCGGACTCCAGACTGGAAGATCTGGACTGGGCATTACAAGCTGTGTCTGGTTGGCTTAGGCGGAGCCGGCTGAAGCTGAATCCGACGAAGACGGAGGTCCTGTGCGTGAGTCAGAGCGGGCTTGGGGGGGGAGGACCCTACTCCCGACTTTCGGTGGGGTGCCATTGGTGCCGGTGCCGGGAGCTTGGGAGTGCTCCTGGATGCCTCCTTAACAATGGAGGCCCAGGTGGCAGCCACTGCCAGGTCGGCCTTTTACCATCTCCGGCTGATCAGGCAGTTGGTTCCCTTCCTCAGCTGCGACGACCTGGCTATGGTGAGCCATGCGACGGTCACCTCGACACTAGACTACTGTAACGCTCTCCACATGGGGCTGCCCCTGTTGCAAATTTGGAAGCTGCAGCTAGTGCAGAATGCCGCGGCCAGGCTTCTGATGGGTCTTCCCAGATGGGAGCACATCCAGCCTGTGCTGAGGATGCTGCACTGGCTGCCAATAGCATACCGAATTTGCTTCAAGGTGCTGGTACTTACCTTTAAAGCCCTATATGGTCAGAGTCCGACATACCTGAGGGACCGCCTTTCCCCATACATACCCCAGAGAGCACTGAGGTCGGGGTCCCAGAACTGACTGGCCCTGTCGGGCCCCAAGGATGCCAGGCACGCCACCACCAGTGTTCCCTCTAAGCTGAGTTAGTGTGAGCTAGCTCATAGTTTTTTAGCCTCCGGCTCACACATTTTTGTCTTGACTCAGGAAGGAGGGCTCCAGAGCAAACTAATTTGTGCAGGAGCCAAATCTCTTGCTCACAACTTTAATGCCAGTAGCTCACAAAGTAGAATTTTTGCTCATGAGACTCCACAGCTTAGAGGGAACATT